TTAATTGGAAGACTGATATTTTGTTGTTGTTGTTATTAAACTCTTGCATATGGATAAATATTTGTTAAATCAGTTGCTTCCTGGTTTCCAACCCCAAATTTCTGGTTGGAAACCAGGAATTTGGGGTTGGAAACCAAATACCAGGAATTTGAATTAACTCCCAATCAGGTCTGCAGGAATGGAGACTCATCTAAAACATGCATTGCAGTGATGCTGGATATCAGAGTTGGGAATCACTGTTACATACATGTGTAGTTTTGCTGTTCTGAAACATGAATTTATTTATTTTTATTTTAACACCAAGCCATTTTCATTGCCTCTTTTCCATAATGGGGACTATGTGGCTATTGTTTATTAATAATCAGGTTGTACCCTGACTATGTAATTTTAATATAAATTACTAACTTTGTTAATAATTGCCATTAGCAAAAATTTTTCATAGCCAAATCAGACCAATTGTTGGACAACAATTGCAAAATACAAGAAGAAATGTCAGAGATCCTCCAAGTAGGATGTAATTGTTCACAGAATACATGTTTTGAATCACATCAGTACAAGAAAGCACCAAGAACGGGAAGACATGTTAAATGTGTTCTTCAGTACCAAAACCACACTGAAGACACAAAAGCAGAAGAGGTGGTAAAACAGTAAGACAATAAGTAAGTTTGAGGAATTGTGGAAAGAGTTTTGCACACAGATGTGTTTGATAAAACACAACTATGATATTGAAGTTTATTGATCTATAGCAATACAATGCAAGAGTATAAAATTATTTATTTGGTGCTCTGCCTTTTAAACTTACTAGCTTCACAGTATTCAGGGAAGCTAAATAAGTTGTCAACAATGTCACCCTGGAAATACGGAAAAGCACTGCGCAGGTCCTGCTTTAACCTCATCCGTCTAATGTCCCTCTAGAGTCAAAAGTCATTTTTTACGTAATTCAGCTGAGTTGCATTCAAACTTTGTGACATTTTCATTTCGTATATCTTCTGGAAAAACCTGCCATTGAGTTCATCCAGACAGAGTATAACAAGCAGTTCTATACCTGAAGTGTGGTTTATTGTCCAACATTTGAGGAATAACTCATCCAGGTGTGGATATGTAGAAAAAAAGATGTTACTAACCAAGTGTACTTTAAACCTTTTTGTGAAGAAGGGCTGAATCCCCTCATTGTATCTCGTGAGATAGATGTTGGCAGACAGTCAGAAGTTCAGGGAATACACAGTTTCTGATGTGACAAAACTTTTAGGGTCTATTTTTCTCTGTTTTATGAACTGGACAGATGTAGTCCTCACTTACACGCTTCCGGAAATAAGTGGGGTTTGGATTCTATGTTTCTGTATACTCTCTTATTTTCTCTATAGTATTTTGGTCGATCAGCCCTGAACTCTGCTAAAGTGAGTTGTACTACAAACCAAGCAAAATGGTTTATAATAACCTTCCTTTAATTAGGCAAAAATAATAATAAAATAAGGAAATGACAGGTTTAGGGTTTAGACAAACCAGAAAAAATAAACATTATTCCCACAGAACAGTAAATTCATACAGGGTAAACACTAGTTATGTAACCCAGTATTGTAAACTAAGATAATATGGCAGCAAATACTATCTACTTTGCAGGCCTGTTAAGATGCTCAGGAATCAGGATTCCCTCCGACTCAACAGTCCAGATATTGACTGTCAACTCAGTACCTTGTTGTCCAACGAATCCAAGCGATACTTCACCCAGTGTCCAGCGAGCCCTCTAAACCATCCAAAAACAGTAGCTCAGTGAAAAAGCAGTTGTGTGGCCTTCATGTGCTCTCCACATCGACGGCTCTCCTTTCCCTCGGTGCCAGAGGTACTCTGAGCGACACGGGCACTCAGAGTGACTAGTCAAGGTCCTCGTTAACCAGTCCGGTAACGACCTTCTGTAACGTTTTAAGTGCTACTCTAACAGTCACAGCTGCTTACAAAAGTCCTTTGTAGCAACAGCTTTGCTCTAACTTTAGAGTGAATATACAACCAAGAAAACTAACACACAGTTAGACAGTTTCTAGCCGAAACTTGACTATGTACTGGTAGCTTGCATAACTTCTCTTGAAGACAAGTTTTACTCACTTCTAGAAACTTCTTAAAACAACAGCTCCTCCTGTGCTATCCCTTCTCTCGCTCTTGCTTACTGTTCTCTCTCTCTTTCTGCTCCTTAAGGTCTGAATGATAATCAGATCATTAAAAAAATATTAGGAAAAGTGGTGTTTCTTGTAGATATAACATTGGGCTTTATGATTTTCTTTTCTCTTAGTCTTGGTACCCCACCTAAAACTTTGTTTTGTTTTTAGGGAAGAACTCTTCTGAATCCAGGACATTGCTGGGCCTTTGTAGATTTCCCAGGATGTTTTAGCCATCGCACTGTCCCACAAAGCTGCCATCATTCATGTATCCCTGGGTTACATTCCCAATATTGTTTCCCCAACTTCCTCCCTCTCTTGTGGCACACTCATGCACACTGGAAGAAAAAGTGCTTCCTGTGTGCCCCTTGGGCACACAGGACTGCAGGTGCCCCTCATGAACATGCATGAGGGGCATGCTGTGCATGAGTGTGCCCCGCGTGAACACTGGACTGCATGCGGGGTCCTCCTATTTACAATGAGGACCCTGAACCCGGTTCTTCTGGTTCCCAGGAGACACTCTGAGATTCTTCAGTACAAAAGGTCCACACACACAGACACAGGCACTCATGCCTCCAGTGTGCATGTGCCGGAGCATGCATGTGCATGAGTGTGCACCTCATGCACACTCATGCTCCAGTGTGCATGAGTGGCTCCAGTGTGCCCATCATGCAGTTATGTGTCCCCATCTTGGTGCCTGCACGTTGGCGTTTACCCCAACGTGCAGGCACTCCAGAAAGGGTGGCACACTCATCATGCTCCAGTATGCATGTGCCCCTCATGCACATGCATGTGTGCACACTCATCAGGGGCTCCAGTGTGCTCCTCATGCACACTGGAGTGCATGAGGTTCAGGGTTCTGACCGTTGTCTGTCCTTATGGGCCAAACAACAGTTCAGATTACCCACCCTTTTTGGTACAGGGTACTGGAGTGTGCCTCTCAGGGGTATTCATTTGTTCTACTGGGGTCTGCAACGGGGCAATGTCAGTGAGACATGGAGGGATGTGGTTGGGAGGAATGGCCCTGCTGATCTAAACTCCAGTGGTGAACTGTTGCTGGACTTCTGTGTTTGTCATGGATTGTCCTGTGCATGGCTGTTTGTCCTGTCTCTCTCTTATTGAGCAGGATTCATTGAAATATCTTTTTAAATAATTCTTATTTTCTTAACCTCCTCCCAAAAAGCCCTGGTTTTGTTGCATTGCCATAAGCAATGTAATAGTTCCCCTTTCTCCATCATGCATACACAAATATAGAAAGTTGGGGTTACATTTATTCAGTTTTATAGCTGCATTTAGATATAAGTTCACACAATAGTTCCTAAACTTTGAAGTGCATATGAAAACAGGACTAACAATAACAAGAATAGCAGAAACTTTTTGATAATGTGCAACTAAGTAGCACAACTTTGTCAAAATGTACATAACGTGCATATTGAACTGTAAATATATAACAGGAAATGTACAATCCAGTGTGTCGGTGTAGAGAAAGCGCTCTGCAGTAATAACAAAAATGTTTTTATCAAACATGTCTAAAAAACTGCAATAACTGCATGTAAATGCCAGTAGGGAAGTAAACATTTCTTGATTTTGTTTAGAGCAGTGATTTGATTGACTAATTTAACAAGATAATTTTTTTTTCGTACCTTAATTTTTAAAATGCTTTAAATGAATTTAAAAGAGGCAGAAATGAATTGTGGGCAGGTTCTGTGGAGCATTCTGATGTCACATAAGCTGACTTGTCATCAGGCGCTTTTGGAACTTTTGTCAATAAGAGCCGAGTTCCTGTAGGAATTCATCCATTTGAAGAGTTAGACGTCGGATAGATTACTTCAAAAAATTCAAGAAATTGAACTGAGCTTCAGTTTTTCGAGTAAGTATTTATTTAGAAATTAGTGAAGCAAAGAAAAAAATGACATTTTGTGCCAGTTTTTTGAAGGAAGTGTGCAGCAATGTTGAAAATAAGTTGAGCAAGACAAGTTGTTAGTAATCAGTTTTTTTAGCTCAACATCAAAACAATTTGAGTAACTTTTTGATGTAAACATTAAACGTCTCATTTGTGTTTTAGTACCTTTTTTTTATTTACGCGAACTTCTCTGAGTATTGAAACAGCAGAAAAATATTAAGGAGTTCTACATGCAAAATAATGTTTTTCTTTAATTTTTATGGATGGTTGGTGATTTTCACACATGAAATGATTAATTTGATTTGATAGGTAACTAAATGATGTTCTGATCAACATTAAATGAAGTTTTTGATATATTACATCTTTAAATTTACAGTGTTTACGAGGAAAATGACTTTCACTGTAGAGTTGTGTTGGTACATTTTGGACATGCTTTGTACCAAAATGTACCACTTTTGCATGTCTTTGGTTTTTTACAGTCATGCTAAGAAGAAGTGAACGTTTGAGAAACAACGGATACTATGATATGGATGGACAACCTGTTATTTCATACAGGGAGACACCAATCAGGTAGATCAAATCAGCAATTTTCATTAAGTCATATGTTTTATGCAGTCATCTGCTGATCAGTGTACATTTTAACTCACTTGTATATTTTTCATCTAGGGCCATAAGGAGGCGCTTAACAGGTCGTCCTGCAAACCACCCTGCAGTCACATTTAGAGAGAGGTCACATTATTCTGGTGACAATGTGATTGACAGAGAAAGACAGATGATGATGACTCTGTTGCAGGGTGGTTTTGATATATCAGTCTTTGTCTTTCTCATCTTTGTCACTTTTGGTAAATACTCTCCTACAGTCAATTTGGAAGTGTTACAGAAAGTCTGTATTTTTAAATTTTTTCTCACTGTTGTCTTCTGCTCATGTTCATCAGGATGTATTTGCTGTATTATTTCCTTCCACTCACGATCTTCAGAGTTGTCTCTCACAACTCTAACAGACATGGTAGGCTTTCTCTTCCTAATCTTAACACTGATTTAATTATCATGATCAAACATGAGAACAAGCTGTTAATTTTTATGTTGTGCACAGGTTACGATCTTTGGACGCAAGGATCAAAGACATCTCTCCAACCTGGAGCTCTTGGAGCAGAAGGTTGACTACCTTCTGCCACAAGCAGACCTGTGGCCCAACTTTGCTCTGGAGTCTCAAGGCGAGCCATTACAAATAAGATCATCAACTAGATTTCAAATTTTCAGTATTAAAATTTTCTAACTCACATTATTTCTGTTTTTGTGTTTTGTGTACAGGAGCAAATATTTTACACAAGATGACCTCAGAGGCTTATGACATCAATAAAGAAGTTGGAAGGTTTGGGAAATTGTTCAAGAGACCTCCTATTGGCCCAGGCATTGTTATTAAGGTTTGAATGATGATTAGATCATTAAAAAAATAAAAGTGGTGTTTCTTGGTGATATATTATTAGCCTTTATGATTTACTTTTCTCTTGGTCTTGGTACCCCACTTAAATTTTGTTCTCTGTTTTCAGGGAAAAAATCGTCTGCAACCTGGAAAATGCTGGGCCTTTCCAGGTTTCCAGGGACGTTTGGGCGTCTCACTTTCACACCCAGCCACCATCAGACATGTGTCCCTGGGTCACATTGCTAAGACTGTGTCCCCAACGTCCTCTGTCTCTAGTGCTCCCAAAGAATTTTCTGTATATGTAAGTCAAATAAAATGAGTGTCAAAAGTGTAATATAGATATAGCCATGTATAGTATATATTAAGTATACATTCAAAATGTGATAGCATTGATTCCATATGACATTGCTTGATCTCATTCTAAACCATGCAAACTTTCTGTCTGCACTAATGAATTTTCTGTTTATCTCAGGATGTGATATGTTTTCTGATACACCGACTAACTTTCACATATGTTGAAAGAACAAGATAATGAACTGGATTTTTATCTAATTTTGTCTCAGGGAAAGAAGAATTTAGAAGATGAGGAAACTCATTTGGGAACTTTCCAATACGATGAAGATGGAGACCAAATACAGACCTTCAAACTTCCTGTAAATATGTCAAATTAATGTTTTATTAACCAAATACAGTTCTCTCAGAAGCCCAGACTGACCTACCCTGTTATAAATATTGATATATTGAAATGATGATCATATATTCTAACATACAATCATAAGGTTCTTCACTGGGTATTACTAGCATTCAATTTAAAAACATACTTTGAATAAAGTACCGTATTATTGTTTCATTCAAAAGGCTTCAATGAAAAACTCTACTTAAACCATAAAAATGTATGTTAATCTTGCACTTTCAGAGTAGTGGTAACTGATAAAAAGCATTTAAAAATTAATCAATTAGTTAAGTTGTCTAGAAATAGTGCCTAAATGTAATGCAGCCACATTAAGCTTTGTTATTGAACCATAACTATTCCAAAACACAGAGATACAAAGTGTTTAACTTGAACAAATGGAAAAAACTGTAGATTTATTTGGCCATCTATTAAGGAGGAAAATATTGTTGTCTTGGCATAAATCTCGTTGAGACTTTTATTACATCACGGTAACAAAATACAAAAAGTCAACCTCTTATTATTAAGATGTGGGAGATTCTTCAATCAACACGGAGACTCGGATTTATTTTACTGAACATTTCTGTTCAGTTTTTATTGAGGAGAAAACAGTGACAGCTGATCACAGCTGTTTGTTACCTAGCAACCAAAATCAACAGAAGCAAGACAGTGACGAAATACAGAACCACATCCGGTTTAGTATTCTTCAAAATAAAAGACTTCCTCTATTCAAATAAATCATGCCTCGCACTTAAATATTTCACTTCAGCTTTTGTAATTATTTACAATCATGTTAATTTAAATAAATAATAATCATCACGTAAATCATGCTCAACATACAATTGTAAGGAAGTGACTTAAAATGCAAAAAAGTCACAACATTTTCACAAAACAATAATTTTTTGTCTCTGTATAACAAACAACAAAATCCCAGTGTTACTACAAAACATTTTGTTTTCTGGTTAGCAAGATATCAGTATAATTACCTCGCTATCTTGAGATAAACTATGCAAAATGTATTTACAGCAAGGAAAGTTGAACTAGGCTTCCATCAGACAGACCTCCTTTGTTTCTATCATCTATTTGCAACTATGGATTATCAATCTAACCTCCCTAATTTATATCTCTCTTGCCTTACAGGCCGATAAAGTTGGTTCCTTCCATCATGTGACTCTAAAGGTGAACAGCAACTGGGGTCATCCGGACTACACCTGCCTCTATAACTTTAGAGTGCATGGAGAACTTGCAAAATGACGAGGAGAACAAAGAGAGATGGATGAGATATGGAGAAAACTATTTTTGTACCCTTTGATATATCTCTTTTGTATATGTTTACACAATTAATTTTAATTCCTCACAAAAAGTCCTCACAGTCAACCATAAGTAGCACAATGGCACAGTTAGTAGCACTGTTACCTTTCAGAAAGAGGTTCAGACGTAATAAAAGTGGGATTTGTGGGTTTTCTCCGGGTGCTCCGGCTTCCTCTCACAGACATTTTAAAATTGGCACGTGTGGGTTCTCTATGGAAGCTCCGGCTTCCTCCCACAGAAATAATAAAAGTGGGATTTGTGGGTTTTCTCCGGGTGCTCCAGCTTCCTCCCACAGACATTTTAAAATTGGCACGTGTGGGTTCTCTATGGAAGCTCCAGCTTCCTCCCACAGAAATAATAAAAGTGGGATTTGTGGGTTTTCTCCGGGTGCTCCGGCTTCCTCCCACAGAAATAATAAAAGTGGGATTTGTGGGTTTTCTCCGGGTGCTCCAGCTTCCTCCCACAGACATTTTAAAATTGGCACGTGTGGGTTCTCTCTGGAAGCTCTGGCTTCCTCCCACAGAAATAATAAAAGTAGGATTTGTGGGTTCTCTATGGAAGCTCTGGCTTCCTCCCACAGAAATAATAAAAGTAGGATTTGTGGGTTCTCTCTCGGTGCTCCGGCTTCCTCCCACAATAAAACTTTAGCTGTTTGGTTAATTGGTCTGCCCAAAATCTCCTCAGCTGTGAATATGTGCTGCATGGTTGACAACATAACGACATAAACTTTCTGATAACATTAACATATTCAAACACAAACTTATACTCTTAATCAAATTAAAGATTGTCTGTCCAGGATATGGGAATACAGCAACATGATTTTGTAGATAATGATGCACTAACACAATTCTTTAAGTTCTTTCACAAATATTGAAGTTTAACTTTGTTTCATGTTATTCTTTTGGGACTGATTCCAGTGAGAGGTAGTTTACTGCTACAGGTTCAGACTATTTTCTGTTAATATCTATTGTATAGACTTTCCCAGATCTACCTTTTGTAACATGTGTATTGTAAACTAATATTGTAATTGAATCTGTCTTTCTTTCAGAAGGTTTGTTGACAGTTTTGTGTTTGTGTGTTTTTTATTTTTGCCCTCTTGAAGCCAGCCAGCCTCGGCAGATGGCTGCTCATCCTGAGCCTGGTTCTGCTGGAGGTTTCTTCCTTTTAAAGGGAGTTTTCCTCTCCACTGTTGCCTTGTGCTTGCTCAGGATGGGGGATCCCTTGGATTAAACATCCATCGCGATCTGCTGGTGACCCCTCCGCAGAATCGCCACCTTAACGTGGTGGAGGGGTTTGAGTATCCCCATGACCCAGATGGAGATTTTGTCTTGGGGTTCAGCCAAGAGTGAGGCTTCCCAGGGCAGGCTGCCATTGGGGAGGGATCAGACTAAGAGCGATTCAAGGTTTTCAATGAAGGGCTACCAAAGGAATCAGGTATTTCTAGGACACAGACAGTTATCCCAAGTACGGTTTTGACGGAAGTTTCTCCCTATAAAAAGTCAGTAATCTTCTTCACTGATAAAAATGACAACTGTACTCCAATGCCCTCCTGTGACTGCTAATTGTGCTTCCATTAAGGTACCAGAATGTGAGGGTCCTAAAGTCACATGGGGACTTTGGTCTATTTGGCCCAAGGGCTTCTGTTCCACATGGCCAACGAGTGAGCAGTGTGAGACAAGTGGAGATTTGAGACAGACGCACAGGCATGGAGAGGAGCCACTCACCCACACTTGAAGGAGGTCCACACCTTAGAGCAGTTGCCTACACCTGAAGGGGCCAATGGGTCCATGTTAGAAGGAGAACTGCACATGATAGAGGGCCAGAAGGAGGCGTGCACATGTCAGTTCAGTGGTTCCCAGGTATATGCCAACATGCCTGGGCTTCTGTCTACATGTCTGGGATGGTGCCCACATACTCTTGACTCGTGTTTTAAAAATAAAGGCCTCTATAGTGCTTCAAATGGTTACTGGTGTTGTATCCACTCATTCTTCTTTGATGGCCTTTGTGCCCGTAACACTCCAAGTCAGTAAATCTCAATCCTTTAAAGAACATTTGGGATGCTGTGAGGTGGAATATTTTTGTATCATCAACACGGAGCCAACAAATATGCAGCAATTCATCATCTGCCAAAGATACAACTATACTATTTTACAGACCTTCCAACCTACACACAACAGAATGTGAGAAACTGCAACATTGCATGGCATGTGCAGGGTTTGTCTTCAGAAAACGTTCTTACCCCAGTTGTTGGGGCACTATAGCTGTTGACAGGAAACATAAGATATTACTGTGTAATTGAGTTACTTGAAGACAATACTTAAACCCAAAACTAGAATCCCAAAAAAAAAAAAAATACAATTAAAAAAAATGTCAGTGATTTGCAATTCTGTTAAATCCAAATTAAGTCATCATGTCGTCGATCCAAGAGCACAATATAATGCTGATCACATTTAACCATTTTGATTGTTTCAAATGGGCCTAAGCAAAAAATTAAACTTTACTTGTGAAGAAAACTTAAAAATCTCATCAATTTAAACCACAACATGTATATTTATACTCACATTCAACATGCAGGAGGAGCTCACTTTTGGCACTTTGTCCACCAGGATATCTCACAGTGCACTCCACCTTCTTGTGGTCTTCTTCTACATTCCAAGTTCGTTCTATTGTTCTTTCCCAAATGCCGTCTGACAACAAGGAGTCAATGGTGCGGTCTGTTCCAGGAATGCCATTCAGAGACAGGGCAGGAGGAGCAGAAGAACATGTATATTTCACTTTACAGGTAACCCTGCTTTGAGCTCCCACCTTAGGAACATCAATGATGCTCATTTGGGGTTCTTGTGCATGGTCTATAAAGATAAAAATAGAAATATGTTAATCTATGATGATTCCAACTAAAAAGTAGATATTTAAAATACTGGTGAAAGAGTGAAAGGAAAAGTTTAACATACATTATTTTAACCTAAACAACAGTTTAACTAGACAGACAGAAACAAGTTTCTTGCTGCAATGGGAATAACTGCACAAGATATGAATATTTGTCAGATTTATTTTGCTTAATCAAGAAGTTGTTTTCCCAGACATGATTTTGTGCATTAAGTTGTTATGCTGCTCTTGAGAGTTGGTAAATAAAAGAATGAGTGTGTCTGTTGTGAAGTCAACCAACTGGACCTGAGACGAACAAAGATTATATATATATATATATATATATATATATATATATATATATATATATATATATATATATATATATATATATATATATATATATAAGCCTTCTTTGTTTTTGTTATAGAATCCTTCTTTGTTCCTCTGCCCCCGCAAGGAAGGAGGCAGAGGACTAGTGAGTGTGAGAACCACTGTCCAGGACGAAACAACTAAGATCCATAAATACATCAGGGACAAAGCCTCAACAGATAATGTGCTCAGTGAATGTCTCAGACAACAGGGAACGGAGGTTGAAGTGCCAGAGATACCATCATGGGAGGACAAGCCCCTACATGGGATGTACCACCAGCAAATAACCCAAGTGGCTGATATCAGTAAATCCTACCAATGGCTGGAAAAAGCTCAAGGACAGCACAGAGGCCCTCATCCTGGCCGCCCAGGAACAGGCCCTAAACACCAGAGCAATAGAGGCCCAGATCTACCACACCAGACAAGACCCAAGGTGTAGGTTGTGCAAGGAGGCCCCTGAGACAGTCCAGCATAACAGCAGGGTGCAAGATACTGGCAGGGAAAGCGTACATGGAACGACATAACCAAGTGGCAGGCATAGTCTACAGAAACATCTGTGCAGAATATGGACTGGAAACCCCGAGATCAAAGTGGGAAACACCCCCAAAGGTGGTGGAGAACGCCAGAGCTAAGATCCTGTGGGACTTCCAGATCCAGACAGACAAAATGGTAATGGCGAACCAATCAGACATTGTCGTAGTGGATAAACATCAGAGGAAAGCCGTTGTGGTTGATGTAGCAATACCAAGTGATTGCTACATCAGGAAAAAGGAGCACGAGAAACTGGAGAAATACCAGGGCCTCAGGGAAGAACTGGAGAGGGCCTGGAAGGTGAAGACCACAGTGGTGCCTGTGGTCATCAGGGCCCTCGGGGCAGTAACCCCCAAACTGGAGCAGTGGCTACAACAGATCCCAGGAACAACATCAGACATCTCAGTCCAGAAATGTGCAGACCTTGGCACAGCCAAGATACTGCGCAGAACCCTCAAGCTCCCAGGCCTCTGGTAGAGGACCCGAGCTCAGAGGATAAGAACCACCCGCGGTGGGTGAGAAGGGAAATTTATTATGTGTGTGTGTGTGTGTGTGTGTGTGTGTGTGTGTGTGTGTGTTCTTACCTGAAACCATAATTTTGGTGCTTCTATCCAAAAATGAATGTCCCTGTGAGTGGTAGGAGGTAATTGGGTTGATATCAACCCATGGATAGAGTTTATCCTCATTGTGAGACATATCCAGCTGGTCTATTTTAAGACTACAGTTGCGGTCTGACACAGAGCCAGTCAAATGTGTTATCCCATTATATCTGCTTAAAATATTTGATTGTCTTTGGTTGAATACATCTGCGCGTCCATTACTTTGGTACAAGTACCAGACAACTTGGAGGCCACTTGGTTGGGCTTTGCTGTAGGAAAACTTGCAAGGAATGATGATACATGATCCTTTCATTCCCGTTACGCTTCCTGGAGTAGTGAAAGACCAGCCCAGATTGAGCATGTTTCCTGTAAAACACATAAAAACAAAACGATTTTGATTGGCCAGATTACTTTAAGCCTAATTTTAACTGATTTGCCCTGGACAGACCATAGATTTATACATTTGAATGTTGTGTCTGCAATAGTATTATTTGTTGTCTTGGTGGGAAAAATAGTTACATTAACTCCTAAATCGAGACTTACAGGGTTCAAATGCCTAAACTGCAAAAACACAAAATCCTACCAAATAATTTTGGTCTAGTTTTTACTGATAGCATCTTAATAAACCTGAAATAAGAGAAAATTAACTTACAAGTAACCTTTCAGCAAGATAAAAGAAGTGGCATTAAGTAAATAATTTCTTAAAATTGGGGAAGAAGTACTTGTTCCATTGGCAGATTATTTCACTTATAGCAAACCAGATTTGCCTGGATAGACACATTTTTATCAACAGTATCTATAAAGATACTTTTTTCAATGGAACAATTTACATAAATTAACAGCAGAACATGAGGCAGCCATGTATTTGTCAATTTTATTTACCATAAAACTCTCCATGTAAAATAATATTCAGTTGATGCGACATTCATCACTGAAGAAAATCTTTTTAGTTCCATTTGTTATAAACTCAAAAGACATTACCAAATGTTTAATATATTCTAGTCCTGATAAAAAGGTACAAAATGTTAACTGTGATTGGTACTCACGTTTTACCCGTATGGTGAGGCTCTTCTGCTGAGTCTCTCCTCCAGGAAAGTTTGCAGAACATGTCAGATCATTTCCATTGTCTTTAGCTGATGCTGTAAATGTCAGTGTGGAAACAGTTTTCTGCAAAGTCCCCAAAGTTTTAATATCTCTGGTAACTGGCATGTTAGAGTAGTACCATTTGAGAACTGGTGCATTGCTGGAGCAAGTATAAGAAGCTTCACATGTTACTTGGTTTGGAACTCCTTCAACATATTCAACTGAAGTAGAGCTAATGCTCAGTGGTAAAATGGAGCCTAAAAACACAAAGAACGAAAGGATGGTTAAAGCTTTTCCAGAAAGACAACCTAAGTTTAGCACGAGGGCGACGCTGATTTTGATCTTGGGAGTTATCACTCACAGTCTGCAGTTAAGGTTTCAGATGTTCTTGCTGTTTTACCACCTTTGTGCTGGACAGTGCACTCAATCTCTTGAACGTTTCTCTCTAAGACTAAAGTGCCTGTTAAGATAGCTTTAGAAGTGCCATCAGATGGCTGAGTGTTGGAAACTCTTTTGTCTTTCATTGCGATGTTGAGGCTGAGAGTTGGTGGACTGGTGGAGCATGTGTGTTCAGCAGAACATTGCACTGTTACAGATTTTCCAACTTTTCTTTCTCCAAAGATTATAATTCGTGGTGGCTTTGGCTGTCCTACAAAGAAAATGTAAAAAGTTAGAAGCTTTTTCAACAACATACTAATGCACTGATTATCAAGGCAAAAAGCTCAAAACAAACAAACATACCAATTACTTCAATTGTTACTGCTGTGTCATAGAATTTATATGTGCTAGACCCAACATGTTCTGGATCCACCCAAGGATAAAGTTTTGTCTGTGGTCGTTCCAGTTCACACGTTCAATCTTTAGAGAGCATGATTTTTTGTATGTGGAAGTGTATACATTGGTTCTTCCTCTATACATGCTAATTACTTCATTAGGGTACCAACTGTCAGAAACCAAAGGATATCCCCTGCTCATACTGGTACCAAACAACTCTGTCTGCTCTTGTAGGTGGATACGAATCGTAGTCAAAGCTACAAGGGATAACGAGGCAGGATTTCAACAGTGCTTTGATATTTCTTGGCATGTTAACGCGCCAAGCTTGTATTGCCGAGTAAAGACATCCTGCAAGAGAAAAATAGTTGTAAGTCAAAATTACTGAAGTAAAAATTCATCAGTTGCATCAAATTAAGTATGTATGTAATGTTACACAATTCAAAAGAAGAAAACCAAAGTACCCAAAAACCAGAGGTGCAGGAGCAAATGTCTAAACCAAAACATCTTGATATAAAGGTATCTGAAAGAAACAAATAATGTGCATTAGTATTATTTATTAAAACTGCTTATCGCTAAAGATACAATAAAAATCTTTGTGCCATTTTCAAAATCAACCAAATTTTGTTTTACAAAAAACTTTTAATTTTCGTTTCATTTCTTTGCAGTTAAAATGTTTCAAGGCTGTAAAAAGACTGGTACCCATCTCACACAAAGTTTTCTACTGTTTCTTTCTGTTGCCCTTTTTTGTTTCCTCCATCTTAAAAGCAAATGAGAAAGAGGGCTTTGTAGTGCGTGTCGTTTTTTGCATGCGTGAGCTCAAGTTACCAGAGCAGAAAGAAAATGGCTACTTTACAGCTACTTTGTCATCTTTGCATTTTTTACCCTTAACGAGGATCATCTTCATGTTTTAGACTGTCGGTTTCAAAATTCACATGAACAAAGAATAAGTTCACACAGCACAAAAATGATTGATTCTTAGAATTCATCATATGAAATTATGAATTAATTACAATACCTCAAAAATGGAGAAACTCACTTTCTTGTTTACATTTGTTTTCAATTGTAAAAAATTAAAGAGAGTGAGACAGAAGTAATCGACATCACTTCTGTCTTCTCTACTTATTTAACACACCTCTCATTTCTACTGTCTTGATCAAAACCTTAAGATCAGGTAAAGAATCTCAAGTATTTGCAATTGTGCTGGTGGGTCATTAATAAGTACTAAAAGTACTTATTAATGAGTACTTTCAGTACTCATTAATAAGTACTAAAAGTAAAGAAAAAACAAAACAAACAAACTGTTTGTTATTACGCAATAGCCAGCCCCACCCTAATCCTCACAACTCCTCTGGGCTGACCACTGACCAGCTCTCCGTCTGCAGAAGGTTTGAGAGGAACAATCTGTCTAAGCTGGTGTCGAGAGAGACTCGTCTAGCTCTAACTACCTATTATCCAGAAGTTATGACCCTTTTCAGTTAAGAAGCAATCAGTTGAGTGGCCCTCGCAACTGCATAACTCCAATAACCACTCCTGTTAACAGTAGCCCTCTCTCTAAGAGTAACGAGCACTTGTTATCTCTCCTAACAACTTTCCCTAACTGTGCCATCAACTTACTAAAAAGGCTTTTTGGGGTGCAGGCAACTCATACCCAGATGACAGGGGATCTCAGCAACAGAAGTGTTAATGTCCTTGGGCAGAATCTTGTCTTGGTGTGGCGAATTCTCCTCCGAACAGGAACGAAGCAAAGTTGGTAGTTATCTTTGTGATCTTTGTCCAGTCCCCAAGTCCGCTGCAGCAATTCTTGAGATCTTTTTGGGTTGAGTGTGGAGCCTCAGTCGAATTAGGAGCAAGAGTTGTTGCCTGCAGAGAATTGCGTCCCCTGTCGCGGGAGCGCGCATCACTCTAAACTCTCGCATATTGATGAGAAAACTGGCTGAAATCCGACCCTATTTCGCAAATTAATTGAAATAAATACTGATTTTTTTCACGTTTATTGAGCCATATTTATCGAACGTTTTTCAGACAGGGAATATTAGCAGGCTCAGAAATGAAAATGCATCTCTCCTAGATTAATACACTAGACAGCTAAGCGTGACATAAAATGTTCTACATAATGGGCCTCGCTTTTATAAAGCTTTAAGCTATTATGGTGTTAAAGAAAATCTGGTAATTTCAAACCAGCTGCGGAGAACATGTTCATCAGACACTGAAAAACGTTCCACAAATATGGCTCAATAAAAGAGAAAAAATCTGTATTTATTTCAGTTAATTTGCAAAATAAAACCCACAATTTTAGGGCTTATATGATTAATAAACGTGATGATGTTACGAATATCTTCAAAAGAATATCTTTCAGCCAGTTTTCTCATCAATATGCCAGAGTTTAGAGTGATGCGTGCTCCCGCGACAGGGGACGCATTTCTCGGCATAACAACGTGGTTCTTCACCCCAGCAAAGTGTAAGCTTGTCCTCCCTCTGGGTCCGTGCGAGGCTCCCTCGTTGGTTTTCTTGGCCCGCGGTTGCTCGTTCCACTTGCTGAAGACGAATAACCCCAGCTCTCTGTTTCTGCGCTTGTTTATACTCTTTACTGTTTACCTCCACTGTTGTGTATGTGGAACAGTTTACATGATTTCTCAAGCATGCTGTAATAAAACTCCACGTCAGTCTTTGAGCACACCCACTATGACTGTTCAGAAAGCATGTGATTACCTCATCCTCTATTTCAGGGGTCACCAACCTTTTTGAGACTGGGAGATACTTCACGGGTGCAGAGCAACACGAAGGGCTACTTGTTTGATACAGTCTTTATAAGTATATAATATATATATAAATATATATATATATATATATATATATATATATATATATATATATATAAAATTCCCTTCTCACCCACCGCGGGTGGTTCTTATCCTCTGAGCTCGGGTCCTCTACCAGAGGCCTGGGAGCTTGAGGGTTCTGCGCAGTATCTTGGCTGTGCCAAGGACTGCACATTTCTGGACTGAGATGTCTGATGTTGTTCCTGGGATCTGTTGTAGCCACTGCTCCAGTTTGGGGGTTACTGCCCCGAGGGCCCCGATGACCACAGGCACCACTGTGGTCTTCACCTTCCAGGCCTTCTCCAGTTCTTCCCTGAGGCCCTGGTATTTCTCCAGTTTCTCGTGCTCCTTTTTCCTGATGTTGCAATCACTTGGTATTGCTACATCTACCACAACGGCCTTCCTCTGTTGTTTATCCACTACGACAATGTCTGGTTGGTTCGCCATTACCATTTTGTCTGTCTGGATCTGGAAGTCCCACAGGATCTTAGCTCTGGCGTTCTCCACCACCTTTGGGGGTGTTTCCCACTTTGATCTCGGGGTTTCCAGTCCATATTCTGCACAGATGTTTCTGTACACTATGCCTGCCACTTGGTTATGTCGCTCCATGTACGCTTTCCCTGCCAGTATCTTGCACCCTGCTGTGATGTGCTGGACTGTCTCAGGGGCCTCCTTGCACAACCTACACCTTGGGTCTTGTCTGGTGTGGTAGATCTGGCCTCTATTGCTCTGGTGTTTAGGGCCTGTTCCTGGGCGGCCAGGATGAGGGCCTCTGTGCTGTCCTTGAGTCCAGCTTTTTCCAGCCATTGGTAGGATTTACTGATATCAGCCACTTGGGTTATTTGCTGGTGGTACATCCCATGTAGGGGCTTGTCCTCCCATGATGGTATCTCTGGCACCTCAACCTCCGTTCCCTGTTGTCTGAGACATTCACTGAGCACATTGTCTGTTGAGGCTTTGTCCCTGATGTATTTATGGATCTTAGTTGTTTCGTCCTGGACAGTGGTTCTCACACTCACTAGTCCTCTGCCGTCGTCCTTGCGGCTCGTGTACAGTCTCAGGGTGCTGGATTTGGGATGGAACCCTCCATGCATGGTTAGTAGCTTTCTAGTCTTAATATCTGTGGCTTTCATCTCCTCCTTTGGCCAGCTGATTATTCCAGCAGGGTATCTGATTACTGGCAGGGCATAGCTGTTTATCGCACGGATTTTGTTCTTGCCATTGAGCTGGCTTCTCAGGACTTGCCTTATTCGTTGGAGGTATTTAGCTGTGGCTCCTTTCCTTGTGGCCTCATCGAGGTTGCCATTTGCTTGTGGTATACCTAGGTACTTGTAACTGTCCTCTATGTCTGCTATTGTTCCTTGTGGGAGTGAGACTCCTTCTGTGTGGATCACCTTCCCCCTCTTTGTGATCAGCCGACCACACTTCTCTAGTCCGAATGACATCCCAATGTCAGTGCTGTAGATCCTGGTGGTGTGGATCAGTGAGTCGATGTCTCGCTCACTCTTGGCATACAGCTTGATGTCATCCATGTAGAGGAGGTGACTGATGTGGCCCCATTTTTGAGGCGGTATCCGTAGCCAGTCTTGTTGATAATTTGGCTGAGGGGGTTCAGGCCTATGCAGAACAGTAGCGGGGACAGGGCATCTCCTTGGTATATGCCACATTTGATGGACACTTGTGCAAGTGGTTTGCAGTTGGCTTCAAGGGTGGTTTTCCACAGCCTCATCGAGTTTGCAATGAAGGCTCTCAGAATCCTGTTGATGTTATACATCTCTAGGCATTCAATGATCCAAGTATGCGGCATTGAGTCATAGCTTTCTTGTAATCGATCCAAGCCATGCACAGGTTGGTGTGTCGGGTTTTGCAGTCTCGGGCAACTGTGCGGTCTACGAGGAGTTGTGTTTGGCTCCTCTGGTATTTACACCGATACCCTTCTGTGCCGTGCTCATGTGTTTATCCATGTGTATATATATATTATATATATATATATATATATATATATATATATATATATATATATATATATATATATATATGTAACGGGTAATAGATACAGATGAAATTCTTGCTAAAATATGTTTGTAATTGCCATGTGATGAATGGTTTTTGGCGCCCCTTACTGGTTGCCTATAAATACAAAGCTAAACCGTAAATTCCACGCAGTCTGTTCAACGGTCTACTGT